GGGTGGGCGGGGCCGGAACGGTAATCGCGGCCTGAGACAGGACAAGGAACTGTCCGCGGGGCGGGGCCGGGCCGGGACTGGAGCACTGGGCGGAGATCCGGACCGCACCGGCGACGGTGGGGCGGGAGGAGCCGTCTTCTGAGACCAGGCCGCCCCCGTCTAGGGGAACACTCTGCCAGGCCGCCTTGCCTTGCGCTCTGCACCATCAGCCCCTTGTTATCTGTTCCCCCTAGGACTCCCCAATTTTTGACAGTGACAGTCTCCTTTCGGTGGTCCCGCCCAAAGTGGAAATTGAGCAAGAGACACCCTATTACCTGCGCAGCCCTCAAACGTCTGCGGATGCTGCTCACAGTCCTCTGGACACCCAGGGATCTCTTAGAGGAAGCCTGAAAATAAATGTGTGAGATCACGTTTTTGAAAACTCCAAACCTTGATTGCAGGGCATGACTGGAGCTCAAACTGAATCAGAAAAACATCCATTACCAGATAGAAGTAACGTTGTAAAAACGTATATTCTTCACCAGTAAGTTTGATCCCAATAGAAATGTCAACAGGATTTTTCAAAAAACTTGATAAGCTGATCCTAAAGTCATCTGAAAGAGATAATCCTCAAGAATAGTGGGGGAAAAAAATCCAGAAAGGAAGGCAGGCAGGTGGGGAGGGGGTAAAAAGCTCAAGCAGAATTCCCCTTCTGTATTTAAAAGCTACCTCAAAGGCAACATGGTATTTGTGGAGAGACAATTGGAATAAATCTAAGAATCCTGAAACAAGCCTAAGTATACAGGAAATGTAGGGCCCGAAAATCAGGAAAAGATAGGTTCTTCAATAGTGTTGGGATTTCCAAGTGGAAAAGGAAAGGGTACACCAGGCACAGGCCAGTGGCGAATGCCTGTAATCCCAGCCATTAGGAGGCAAGGCAGCAGGACGGCAAGTTCAAAACCAGCCCCAGCAGCTTAGGGAGGCCTTGAGCAACTTAATGAGACCCTATCTCTAAACAAAAAGTAAAAAGGTCTAGGGATGTGTTTCAGTGGTTAAGTGCCCCTGGGTTCAATCCCTGGTATTAGAAAAGAAGAAGAAAGAAAAAGAAAATGAAAGAAAGGAAAGGAAAGGGTAAATGGAATCTCGACCTTACTTTGTTTTAAAATGCAGTGTGAGTGACATTAAGGACTAATAGTAAAAACAAAATTGCAAAACTAACAAAATCAAATACAAGTGAATATTTCAGATTTCCAATGGATAACTTTTCCCTCCTGAAGCTGCCAGTGAACCCAGAGCCTCATGTATTCTAAGTACCTACTTCCACTAAACCCCAGCCCTGTAATTCAAACCATCTCTAGATTGTTTGCAATACCTACTACAATGTAAATAATATGTAAACAGTTGATATATTACTTTAAACAGGGAATAGTGACCAAAAAAAAGCTGGTAAGTATTCAATACAAAGCAATTTTTTCCCAAATATTTTCCATCTGAAGTTGGTTGAACCCAAAGACTTATGGACATGAAGGGCCATCTGTCCATTGTTTTACATGTTTTAAAGCTGTATGCAGGCCAGGTACAGTGGCACCTGCCTGTAATCCCAGCTACTCAGGAAGCTGAGGCAAGAGAATTGTAAATTCAAGGCTAGGCTCACCAACTTGGTTATCTGTTGGCAAATTAGTTATCTGTTCCTGCAAAACAAGTTACTCCAAAACTGAGCATCTTACAGCATCAGCATGGATCATCGCACACAATTACTGGAGTCAGAGGCCTGGATGGTGCTTGACTGAGTGGTTCTGACTTAGGGTCTGTGTCAGTCTGCTTTCTGTCACTATGGCAAATACCTGAGATAAATCAATTTAAAAGGAGGAAAGGGACTGGAGTAGTGACTCAGTAGTGGAGCACTTGCCTGGTATGTGTGAGGCCCTGGGTTTGATCCTCAGCACCACATATAAATAAATATATAAAATAAAAGGTCCATTAACTATATTTTTTTTAAAAAAGGAGGAAAAGGTTTATTTTGACTCACAGTTTCAGAGGTTTTAGTCCAGGGTTGGTTGGTTCTGTTGCTGTTGGTCCTGTGGCAAGACAGAACCTCATGGTAGGGAGCATGTAGTAGCGCAGAGCTGCTCACTCACAGCAGCCAGGGGGCAAAGAATGAGAAGAAGAGGTGGGTCCCAATTTCCCCTACAAGGATATTCCCCCATGATCTAGTCTCCTCCCACTGAACCCCACCTCCTGAATTCCCTACCACCTCTGGTGGTGTCATAGCCAGTGACCAAACCTTTAGCACATGGGCTTGTGGAAGACACTCCAGATCCAAACTGTAGCAGGGTCTCTGGAGACTGTGGTCAATTTGTTAGCCAGGCCCCCGAGGATGTGTATGGAACTGCAGAGTCCCCTTTTAATCCCATGAAMGTGGCTACTGGTGGGAGACCTCCATTTCTTAAGGTGGGGCCCTCTGTATGGCTGCTTGAATATCTTCCCAACACGGCAGCTGGCCATCCCCAGAGTGAGTGATCTGCAGTACCTCCATGACCTGCCATCCCTCACTTCCCCCACACCTGCACTCTGAAATCACTAGCTCCAACTGAATCAAGGGTGCATAGTAAGCTGCACCTCCTGGAGAGAGGAAGGTTTGTGGAAGTAATTGAAAGCATCAGCACCCAATCACTGACAAATGCTTGATAGCCCTGGATGCTCCACAGAGGAGAATGCAGAGTCCTGGGAGATGAGGTCAGTGGGATGCTCCCCAGTCAGGGTGAGGGAGGGAGCCCTTGAAAGCATAACACTGCCTGCTACAGTGCAGAAGGAAGCTGGAGGAAGACTTGCCAAAAGCTAGGGGAACCAGGACAGAGGCCTGAAGGCAGAGCAGCTGGAGAGGAGGGACGGAGCTGGGCATGCCACTGCTCACCCTCTGACCCCTTTTCTGCCCTTTCTCTGAATGTCTTTGCAGGAGAAGCTTTATAAACACTTAGGACTGACTGACAGACCTGAACCCAGCATGCGGGGACAAAGGTGCCAACACCCCCAGGCCCCTACGTGGATACCCAACATGAGCAGTTTCTCTGTGCTCCTGAGCCTCTTCTCAGTACTACAGGAAGGACACTCATTGGCACTTCACAGAAGGGGAAGCCAGAAGGCTCAGTGATCATCACACTCTGAGTGCAGGGTAGGGCTGGGTTTCTTCTTCACCAACCTGGATGGACACAGCAGAAGCAGGGTGGGCCAGGCTGAGGCTCAGGCACAGACCTTCCTCTAAGGGGATTCACAGAGCAGGAAAGGAACAGGGGTGTCAGAATGGAACAAGGGAACAGCTTTCTTCTAAGCTGAACATGAAACTCAAACCAGAGGTTCTTGGTTCAGGGCCTGCCAGCAGAGTTAGACCTGGAGGGAGCACCTGAGCCCCAGAACTGCCTGCTTCTGATGGCTCTCGGGAGTCATCATGCTCTTTACTTTCTAAAAGTCACATGTGTGTGTTGGTGAAAGCTCGGTCTTTGTCCCTGATATCAACCAATAATGAGGACACAGTATTGAGAAAAAGGAAGAAGAAAGTTTATTGCGTTGTCAGCAAAGGAGAAACACAGGGACTCCTGTCCAAGAGGCTGTGATTCTGCCTGTCAGCAGGAGCAGGGGGCTGGGGTGGGGTGATCATTTCACAGGCACATGTTCTTATGGAAGTTAAGCAGCATAGCCTCAGAATCAAAACTTTGGAACTTCTAGATAAAACGACTCTGATCTGAAATGGTGAATCTGATGCCAATATTGATCTGATGCCAATATTGCCCATCAGCAGGAGCAGGGGATTTTTAAAGAGGTGACTCAAAGGCTACAATCCACTCGTTCTCTGTTGTAGTTGTGATTCACTTGTTCATTTGGGAGAGAGTCCTTTCTAAGATCTTCTGGTGCCATCCCCAAAGATCTTCTGGTGCCATCCCCAAAGTCTGGATTACTTCCTTCCTGTGGTGGGTGTGTGCTCAGGAACAGATAAGCTCTGCCTAGGATGGGGAAGAGAGGTAATCCTATTTCCCCTGAGATTAGAGATGGGAAGAGATTAGGGAAGAGCAGGGAGAGAGGAAGAGAAAGAAACATGTGCATTTTAAAATAAGTTGAAGTGGTTAGGTTCAAAGTTGCGATGCTTAGGTTCAAAGCATAAAGTGGGCCCTGTTACATGTTGACATGTTGGGGTCTCCTAGGTTCAGGGAGGAACCACCCCCAGGCTAGCTAAGTCCTAGAGACAACAGACCACTTGCCTGCAAGGTGCCTTGGATGTACAGACT